TATATATATATATATATATATATTTTGTCATAAATGTTTTCCTATTCTACGTTGGTAACTTTTTTGACTGTTCTCAAAATTTTCTATCTCAATATTCTTTATCCATATAAATAAACTTGGCTTAATTTACTCTTGAATTTTTAATTCTTAAAACTAGTAAAAAAAGCTAAGTTATATCAATATTAAAATTAATCTACGATGGTAGAAATGGACAAGAGGCCGCTGGTAGACAACAAAACTTTAATGTAGGATTTATCCTGTACTCGATATCCAATAGAAAAAAAATACGTTTTTAGAGTCATAACGAGAAATTCGCCCAATTAACGTACGTTTACCATTCTCGAATTGGCGCTATATAACACGAACGTACCGGAAGTGCGATTCTTACGCGCGACACCGACGGGCGGAGTCGCCTTTCTACGTTGCATCGTTATATCGCAGGTCACCGCTTCCGCTTCGAGTCTCTTCTGTATAGTTCTCTGTAAAAGATGGTAATACGGAGTGTTTATTGCCTGCAATTTGCCCGAATTTTCGCACCGCACGTTTCGCGCTTGCAAAATTTCCCTCGCCGTCGCCGAGTCCGAGTGTACGCTGCGTTTTGATGACGTAAATTTCGCAATGGATCGACATCCTTTCGCCGAGATTGCGCCTCGTCCTTTAGCGGTGGCCATGTGGCCGCTGTATTATTTGATCGTCACGATGCTGTGTCGTCGAGTCGAAATTTCTTAATTTAATTCTGAAGACGCCACTCGGCTAGGCGCGTTCGCGTTTTACTAAAAAAAGAAAAAATCGGGACGAAGATTCGAGGGTGAATTGTAACCTAACCTAATTTCGCTTCTCTATCGCATGGGGTGCGTTCCATTTGACGCTCGCAACGCTCTTGGAATAACTTGTTTATCAAGTGTTAAATAAGGATAAGTAATGCTCGCGAACGTCAAATGGAACGCAGCCGTGGGAGAAACAATGACAGTGGTAAAAGTTTGCAGTAATGAATTAATCACATGAATTCTTACGTAGATATAGGGTAGCTGTCCCTATTAGTGTGCCTGTACGTCCCTATTAATGTGCTATATTTAAATAAGTCATAAAAAAAAACACTGTCTATTTACTTGTCAGTGTATTTTTATGACTTATTTAAATATAAAAGCACAATAGGGACTACAGGCACACTAATAGGGACAGTTATCCTATATATGAAAATATATATTTTTTATGCATGTATCTGTCGTTGCAAACTTTTATTACTATCATTGTTTCTCCCATGGCTGTGTTCCATTTAACGCTCATGAACATTACTTGTCCTTGTTTAACACTTGATAAACAAGGACGAAGTTAGTCCAAGAGCGTTGCGAGTGTCAAATGGAATGCACCCTGTGTGATACAGAATTGTCATTGTTTTTGATATGTCAGTATATCCACATCTGATTTGTTTCGTTTGTTAGACTTGCAAACGCAGGAACGGCGGTCGCGCCAAGCACGGCCGTGGCCACGTGAATCCGGTCCGCTGCACCAACTGCGCTCGCTGCGTCCCCAAGGACAAGGCCATCAAGAAGTTCGTCATTCGCAACATCGTCGAGGCCGCTGCCGTCAGGGACATAACGGAGGCCAGCTTCTATCAGTCGTACCAGCTGCCTAAATTGTACGCCAAGCTACACTACTGCGTCTCCTGCGCCATCCACTCCAAAGTGGTGCGAAACAGGTCCAAGGCAGACCGTCGCATTAGAACGCCTCCTGTCCGCAACTTCCCGAGGGTAATTATTTATGGATTGTGCATGCTTGATCGAAAGAATGCATTTAATAATTTGATATTCTTATCTTGAAATTTGGAAAGCAAACTGCTTCATAAAAGTTTTCAAACTGATTTAAACGTTAATAATGAAATGTGCAATACAATCAAATATTTTATAAATATTTTATGAATTTTCAATTTTACATCCAAGGTCATATATTTCGCCACAAGTAGATGTAAAATTTCTGTATAATTGATTCGTACCGATGCAATGTACGTTACACATGCAATCGCTTTTTGTTTCCAGGATCTGCGCCAGGGTCAACAGAACAGGAAATAATTATGTAAACTTTGATATAAATAAAAATTTGTAAAACCAATGCGGAAGGTGCTTCTTTTCATTTACTTGAAGACACAAAATACGCTGCAATATTATTTACGTTTATTATCGTGTGAGAAAGATGAAGAAGATACATACGTAATGTTTTAGCGTAAATCGATGCGCAGTTTGACAATAAGCTATTCAGTGACTATTACATGGAAAAGAAAACTCGAAATCGTCAAGCTCAGTCGAAACGGGAATATAGATAATAGATTTATTATACATGATGTGCACATATCGCGGCTAATGCCTTCCTTGTGAAGCGAAATTTTTAAATATCTAAGTTCTGCCAATGAGTTTACTTACATTTCATAAAAATACTTGCGTTTGACTTCAGCAAGAACAAGATTTCTATCAATTATTTAAAATTAATGTACAAGTGATTTTTTTTTCGTGATTATATATACACACACATATACGTACATACGTGTATTATATGCGCATACATATATACACGTATGTACATACATGTATATATAGTATGCAAAATCATTTGTTTGCCTCCTCCATCGCTTTCTTCAGCGTTTTCTCAAATATCTTTTTCGAGTCGCAGAACCCCTGTTTTGTCTTGCCGAATGAATTTGGCCCGGCTGATGTCGGTGTCTCGCGCCCGATATTTCGCATCCTCATCCTCGCTTCCGCCGGCATCTCCTCTGGTTCGTCGTCGTCGTCCGCATTGAACACCGAGGCTACAGTCGGTTTTGGTGCCGGCGCTGCTTTCACAGTTGACTTCTGACACAAAGAAGAGTTTCTTATGCTTAAGTCCTGAAATATAATACGTGCGGTAAGCCTTCAGCCTTAAGAAATTAACCAATCCCTTCACATTCGACTATGATTGTTCCATTTTTTAAGGCTTAAGGCTGGCAACATCTATTGTGCTTTGAGACTAAAGTGGCGTCTACAATGAAACTTGAGGTCCGTCTACAATGAAAGTAGTAAATTGTAAGCCGTAAGAAATTGACTAATCACAGTTGATTATTCTTCTCATATTCGACTATGATTAATTTCTTAAGGTCCATCTACAATGAGAGTAGTAAGTCCTAAGAAATTGGCTAATCACAGTCGATTATTCTTTTCATATTCGACTGTGATTGATCAATTTCTTACGGCTTATGACTTACTACTCTCACTGTAGATGGTCCTTTATGGCTTATGACTTACTATTCTCATTAGTCCTGGAACACAATAGATGTAGTAAGCCTTAAAGTCGTAAGAAATTGATCAATCATAATCTATTATTCTCTTCAAATTCAACTGCAATTGGTCCATTTCTTACAGCTTAAGGCTTACAACACCTATTGTGTTTCAGGACTTATAGATGGGCCTTTAAAGACTTTAAAATTTAAGAAAATTGACCAATCACAAGCAATTATTCTTCCCACGCAAGATGAATAATCGTTTCTGACTGATCAATTTTTTTTTGAATCTCAAGTCTCATTGTAAACAGCACTTGAGCCGAGAGGAGGGAGATAAGTTTTTCATGAAAAACAAAGGATTTCTCGCGTGCTTGTCAAAAAGAATATCTCACTTACGGAGGCGGAGCCTAATTTAATTTGAATTCCCTTCTTCTGCTCGTTGCCGGCGGTCCTTTTCCCGAAGCCGAACGCTAACTTCTGCTTCTTCCCATCCGACTGATCGTCATCTGTATCGCTGCGCTCCTCGGCCCTGAGCGGCGAGCGGTCCCTACCTCTGTCATCCTCTCTTCTGTCCTCGGTTCTGTAGACACTTGACCCTGACAACGTCAAACACTGGCAAAGTTCAGATCAAGTTAAACAAAGTTGACTTTTTAACCGGAAATCTTTAAGCGGGTTTTATGCTTAATGCAGAACCTATCACATTTCATGGCCTACAAATTCGACAATTAGAGATTAGCTGTGGCGAAGCTGTGAAGTGTAAAATTAAAACTTATTTAATCCTGAAAAATTTTTTTCTTCAACAATTATATATATATAATTACTTTATATTTTCTATCAGATTGACGTTTTGTGAAATGCATACATATATATATGTATTAAAAATATTAATACATAAATATCAAATAATTTTTTATTTCATTTCAAACATGCGTTAGGAATGAAACATTAAAATTATTAACAATTAGAAGTTAAACATTTGAAGAAATTGTGACGCAAATAAAAAGCAATGACAATCGTATTATACGTATAATATATTCTCTATACGATCGCGATTGTTCCAGCGATAAAGAATCAGAGAGCCGCGCGAGACACGGTTAATGTTGGTTACTCTCGAAGAAATTATTACAGGACGTCATAAACTGAGGATCGGTCAAGTGATCAATGCTCCGCACACGATTTATATATTTCATATAGAACTACCAGAGATTGGCAATTCCAATAATTTATGCAACCCGTTCCCGTGTGTTCTCTCGCCGGGTTACGACGAGCGTTATCTCTACATTCGACAGCGGGGTAGGTAATAAATAAATCGAACAAAACCTTTTCTATAATCGTCTCCGGAACTCCTCCTGGACATTTCGTCGATATCCTGCGGACGCGCAGCTCGGGCCAGGTTTACGCGGAATACACGGAGGTAACCTAAAAATCGTTACTCAAAATTATCCGTTCGCCGCTGTTGCCAACAGTCGTGGTAACGCGTATGTAGCTGTAAGGGGAGGGGATAGGTTGGCAACACGCTGGGCCCCCACGTGACCCGACACACACAAGTATATACACACACACACACAAAATTTGGATTCTGCTAGGCTGGATGTGTTTTTATATTGATATAAAATACATGTGTCCAGCATGTGAAATATAATTGTTAAATATAATCGTATGTCTCTCTTTGTACAATTAGCGAATTAGGGTAATTGTAACGTGAGTTTATCGTCATTTTCTAGTAAGTTGATACTCAATTTTCTAAGGCATTATGTCATGCCACTTTAGTAAACAAAAACGCAATTTTATGAACATAATTATTTGAAGCAAATTTTAAGCTGTCGCTAACGTTATAAATCGCTATAAATTACTAATATAAATATTACTAGTCGCTCGAGCGTGTCTGTGAGCCTTTTAAATATTAGTTATTATTTTCTACGATCGTTGAGTTTCTTAACCTGCACAGAGCGAGCCTCTGCGTTTTCTAAGAATAAAGATAGTATATTTGCACATTATTTAGTTCTTTATTGAAAGAAAAAAAAGATCCAAGGCCCCACACGTCATTGGCATTAATATGTGTCAATTTTTCTTTACAGCAAGAATGAACGCCGGCATCATCTTTAGATCAGTTTATCAAACAATCAATTCCATAGCTCCGAGAGTTTTGACGATCCCGATTATGCAGAATGTATTGGCGCACAAAATCCACTACATGTGCAACAGGGAGAGATTAAGTTCGCCGAACAGTTTGTCGAACAACAAAAATACGTGTTCCCTCTTGCAACCCGTACTGCCCATGTATAACTCAGTGTGCGGTCTGAAGGCGAAGGGTCGCTTACAGCTACGTTGCAAGGACTGCTACTTTCTATGTAAAAACGAGAGATGGTACGTGATGTGCAAAACGCATCCTAGGCATAAACAGGTGAAGATTAAAAAGAATGAATACAAAACGTGGATATTAACATCGGCTTCTCAGAGTAAAGTGCGAGGCTGGTAAATGGATGTATGTAGATCTTAAATCTGAAGATAAAATATTGGTGTGTACAGCAAAATATGAAATATGAATAAAATGTTTTCCAAAATGTATTTCATGAGTTATTCATAACTCTATTCCTTATAGCTGAACTAATGTTCAGCTATAAGCTATAATGTACACTCGTGATTTTTAATGAAATAGATTATATGTTTGAAGTTCGGTGAAAACGAGAAAAAAATTTTAATACCGTCCAATGTGATGGAAAAGATCAAGCCTCTAATATGTTAACAAAAGGTTGTTAATGCGTATTTATCTATCTTTACAACATTGTCTTTATTTTAATCTTTTGCTAAATAATTACTTTAATCTTTTCACCTTCGTTGATAAAAATCAAATTGTTCATTCGATTGCATTTGGCGAGAAAAATCGGCAAGAAAGTTCTTGGCAAAAGAAAAAAAAAGATGCTATATTTTGCACAATATCCACAACACAAAATTTGTTTAAAAATCTGTATTATGTAAAATTTACTTTTGCTTCTTTTATGCATGTGTCTACATAACATCGAGATAGTAATAAATCATGAAATTAATTAATATTATACTGTGTTAAAAAAAGTTCAAGAACGAAGTTAATCATTTCATAGTTTTTTGAACACGATTCCATTTATCGAATTGCTTTGTCGCGTCACAATTTTCAGATATTTTGCCATTCGTACGCGGCATCCCGTATGAATACCATATCGTATCAATTGCCGCGGTGTACGCGCACGAGCGAAGAAACGCAGGTCTCTTCCCCCCCGTCCAGCATTTAAATATTGTTCGCCACGCATGTTGTTTCAATAGTTGCTTTGATTTTGTTTGGAATAATTAGGAGGAATTGCGAAAGTATTCTCATAAGAATATATATTAATTTATTTAGATTTATACTAATTATTTATACTTGTCTTCAATGCTATCGTTTTGCAATAATGAAGCATATAAATTATTTTATCTAACTTATCAAATACAGATGCATTCGAATAAACCATATGTTGATCGTTGAGTAATTGCATAATCGAGAGCTCTGTTCTAAAATACTGCATCTCTATACAATAGTTTTAATCTTTGTTACGAATTCCCTCGTACAAGGACAGCGGTCACGGGACAGTAGAAATTTTTGCCTGCGACAGCTTACAAAGTGTACGGATTTGATGCACTTAATTACTAAGTTTGATATCAAGATATACAATCTACTAGCGCCTGGATTCGGACAACAAAGATCTTAAATACATGTATAGCAGGCAACTTACTTAGTAACGCGATAATATACAAAGCACGGGATGATCATATATTCAACCCCCCCTTGCCCCCCGATGAGAGTAAAATATAAAAATTTGAAAATTTCAACGAGATAAAGCCAATTTTATGAGTGAATAAAATTAAATACTAATACTTGTGTGCGCAACTTACGGCTATAATATTGCTCTATTTATAAAACATTCTTTTCAAAGAATTTTTATAAGATAAGTTAACGTCATCCCCATTTGGAGAAATGGACGGACAAGTGTTCATGTAGTTGGCTCTTATCTGCGTAACATGTTTTAATATAAATAAATAACACGCACATATCTTTTCCCCTATTATTAATTAATCAACAATAATCGGTTCGTCACCTATTTGAAAAGTATGTGTCGCGTAGAAAAATATCTTTGTCATCTAGAAACAATATATGTACGCACTTGATGGCACATTTACGAAAGTGTAGAAAAAGAAAAATGTCGAAATAAGCTCGTGTGCTCTCAAAAGTCGGTGAAACGCGACGACAAAGTAATTTGCAATTTTGTAAAAAATCAAATTGTCCTATAAAATTGTCGAAGAAGCGTAATTCACTACATCTACGTCGTCATTAATCACCAAAACACATTGTAAATTTTATGAAATAGAATTTTGGCACCGGCTATCTCTGACATTGGTTGTCTTTCTCTTTATGCATAGACATAGAAAAGATAAACCCAGCATGCTTTATTATTGGATCAAAAATAACAAAAGAAAAAGAAAGAAGAGAGTCCAGATATTACACTTTTATCCTTATTTTTTACGTTCCCTGTTAAAATTATTTAACGTTTCCTAGGAAGTCGTGAGAAATGCGAATTTAAAAAAATATAACGAATAAAATAATAAATAAATACGAAACAAAGTATAATTTATTTCATAACATGTTTTTATACAAATTTATTATTTCGCAAAAAAAAAAAAAATGACCCAATTTTTTCTCTCTTTCGTTGAAATACATATAAACTATATGTATGTAAATTTTTCGCTGTTCGATCAGTTTCTCAAGATCAAACCACGAAAAACTTAAAAGCGTCGCGGAAAATTTGGATCGGCGTTCGCGTAGTACACATCGAAGAGATGGGTTAATGATCTTTTCGTTTGATCCGGCAAAAGATGATGTCGAAAAATGGGATGGGGAAAAATTCACCATGTGGATAGACTGGCTGAGCAATGCGGATGGGACGATCAGATCATAACGAAATTATTGCCGATGTATTTAAGAGGGGCCATGCACGATTGTGATACGACATGCTGTCGGAAGTAACCACGTGGATGACGGCAAAAGGCAAAACGATAAAACCGGTTCAAAGTTGTTTCGTTCGTGATGATAAGTCATCAATTTATCAGACATGGCAAGATTCAATTCATGTAATTTTGCGTTTTTCGATAATTTCGCGAATGAAACGACTACGAAATTGTCGTATCATTTCGCTTTTTCCCGTCATCTACGTGATTACTGCCGACAGCGTGTCGTATCACAACCGTGCATGGACTCTTAAATACATCGGTAATAGATTCATTTATGATCTGATCGTTTTATCCGTATTGCTCAGTCAGCCCATCTACATGCCATTTTTCGACATATGTTGCCTTCTGAGAGGCAGCGATCGAATAAAAATTCGTTGTTTCTAGTCGGATTTGAACTTGGGTCCTCGGCACAGAAAGCAGACGCACAACTCTGCGCCACGATCGCTACATGTGAAATAATAAATATGTATAAAAACATATATATATCTATACACATTTGTCATGCCAATGAGTCATCATTGATGAGAGTTTGTCATCAATGAGTTTGTAATGCCAATAAATATACAACAGCCAATTTCGAGCTTATCTCTACATGTCTACGTTTTTTTTTCCGTTTGCCTCTTAGATCTCTACAGTATATGTATTATAGCATAGTGCACTATGTATCATCAAGCGCGCGAAGGTACTGCTGTTCCGTCAATAAATAAACGTAGATATATTAGACGATATATTCGACCAGTCGGCATGTCCGAGAGACAAGCTAGAGATTATTCACCGATATAATCTGATTTATCCAGCCGATGTACGAGGAGACCTTTACGTACACACCCGGCACATTTTGGCGACCGCAGCCGAATCCCCAGGACACCAGTCCGGCCAGTTCGTAGAAGCCGTCGTCTTGGCACACCAGAGGACCTCCACCATCGCCCTGAATATGACGATGAACGTAAATTCGTTAGTTTCGCGCGTCAAGGGAAACATTTGTGAAGAAAGATCTTGTGCCAAACGCAATTGTGAACTTATTGAAACACAATTGTGTCCACGTTATTAAGTAGACAGCCAACGTTTTTCCTGGGTATCATAGAGTTTATACCTGACACGCGTCATTTCCCTGCTCGCCACCGGCGCAGAAACTGCTGGCTGGTAGAATGAAGATCTTCTCGGTCACGGCGTTCACTTTCCTTATGCATTCGGCGTCGCTGACGATCGGTATCTCCGCCTCGCGCACTCGAAGGGGTATAGGACCGGCTGTAGAATGTCGTTGTTGCGTAAGCAAGTAAAATACGCGGCAAATACATTTCTTTGCGAGAGAGAGAGAGAGAGAGAGAGAGAGAGAGAGAGAGAGAGAGAGAGAGAGAGAGAGAAGGGGGGGAATAAACGGGTGGATATGACTTACCTTCTCCCATGTATCCGTAACCGGTAACGGTACACCTCTTGCCAGCCGTGTGACTGACGCCCCGTGCCGGCAGGCAGACCAGGCAGACCCCGTCCTTCAGCTCCGCTTGACCGTGAAGCTTCAGCAGAGCGATATCGTTGTCGAGCGTCTGGCTGTTGTGATTGTGATGGATGTACGTCGTCGCGACGCGCAACGTCTGAGCACCGGGGCTTCCGTATTTACGGGTGAGATCGTGATCGCCCACCCTCACGTAGATCGCGTCGCCGGACCTCACGATGCTGGAAACGAGCGTTTTTTTTGTTTTGTTTTTCATACTTCTCTCACGTTTCCCGATTCGTTTCCGCGCGCGCGATGAAGAGACCGCGAGCGTTACGCGACAAGCGACGTCTACTCACTTCGTGACACAATGCGCCGCGGTGAGGACCCACTGCGTCCCTATCAGCGCGCCTCCGCACAGATACTGGTTGAGGGAGTTTATCAGAGCGACCTGCCAACACCACTCGTTGGCGTCCGCGTCCTCGCCGCCCACCACGCGCCCGTCTCTCTCGGAACTTCGCGCCTGAATCGGGCCGCGCGAGGTCCCCTTCACGCCGCAAACGTATTTACTGTACACCGGACTTCTGGTGGTGGTGGTGACCGTCGTCGTCTCATCTGTGAAATTGAAGATCCTTTAGTACGCGAGCGATTTCATCGGGAGATTAGGCTTTAACTTAAATGTGAATCGACCTTCTAGTTGAACTCAAATCAGTCAATTTGAAATTTAAATTAAATTAGCCTACCCTGACGATTTTCGCAATTCCCAGTAATTTTATGATCTCGCAAAGTAACGAATAGATTTCTTATTTCTCACTTACATAAGGTTGCAAGAGGGGGTGGTATAAGATCGCGGAGCGACGTGGAATGTATCATTCCTATTGGCCAGAAACCGAGTACGCGAATGATTTAATCCGAGCGATTTAATCGGGAGATTAGACTTTAACTTGAATTTGAATCGACCTTCAACTTGAACTCAAATCAGTCAATTTGAAATTTAAATTAAATTAGTCCACCCTGACGATTTTCGCAATTCCCAGTAATTTTATGATCTCGCAAAGTAACGAATAGATTTCTTATTTCTCACTTACATAAGGTTGCAAGAGGGGTGGTATAAGGTCGCGGAGCGACGTGGAATGTATCATTCCTATTGGTCAGAAATCGAGTACGCGAATGATTTAATCCGAGCGATTTAATCGAGAGATTAGACTTTAACTCGAATTTGAATCGACCTTCAACTTGAACTCAAATCAGTCAATTTGAAATTTAAATTAAATTAGCCTACCCTGACGATTTTCGCAATTCTCAGTAATTTTATGATCTCGCAAAGTAACGAATAGACTTCTTATTTCTCACTTACATAAGGTTGCAAGAGGGATGGTATAAGATCGCGGAG